CGACGCCGAGGGGCACTGGGCAGCTCGGGAGGGGGGGGGGGGCGACGACGCCGAAATAAAGTGGTCGGGGCGGAGGGGGCGGTGCGACGCCGAAGCGCACTGGGCAGCTGGGGAGGGGGGGGGGGGCGACGACGCCGAAATAAAGTGGTCGGGGCGGAAGGGGCTGTGCGACGCCGAAGGGCACTGGGCAGCTGGGGAGGGGGGGGGGGCGACGACGCCGAAATAAAGTGGTCGGGGCGGACCAGCAGCGGCACCAGCACCAGCACCAGCACCAGCACCAGCAGCACCAGCAGCGGCACCAGCACCAGCACCAGCACCAGCACCAGCACTGGGCAGCTGGGGAGGGGGGGGGGGCGACGACGCCGAAATAAAGTGGTCGGAGCTCTAGACACCCTGTGCAAGAGAATCAAACTCAGGTGCCTTATGTTATGGTCGGTTATGTTATGGTGTTGTGTTATGGCGGTTTCTCTTCTGTCACGTTGTGCTATGAGATGATGTGGGATGTTCTGTGTGTTAACGAACCGGCTCTGTATGCTCTGCAGTCGTTTCGTGATATGATATGTGATGATACGGCATGATATGATATGTTCTGTCACGGTGTATAATGTTATGCTCGGTTCCCTTATGATATGTTGCGTTATGTCGTCTTCTGTTGTGTCATGTCCTGCTCTGGTCTTATGCGATGTTATGTTATGCTCTACGTTGTCATGACATTGCTATGATCTGTTATGTCATGTTCTGGAATGCTCTGATATGTTATATCATGAGGTGTTGTGTCATGTTGTGTTTAATCGTGTTCGTCATGCCTATGCTCTACTGTTGTGATATGATATGTGTTGTTTGATCCGGTGACATGATACGATGTGTTATGTCAAGGTCTGTTATGTTATGCACGGTTATGTTCTCTTATTTCGTGTTGTCATGTATGTTATGGCTTGCTCTGCTATGGTATGTTGTGTGATGTTATGTGTGTTGGCGGCTCGGCTCTATATGATATGTAAAAACGGCTCTGCTAGTATGCGCCACTATGCTCTGTTGTCGTGCTATGATACGTTATGTGTTGCTGTGACGTGATATGCTATGGTATGTCGAGGTGTGTTTTGTTATGATCGGCTATGTTATGGTATAATGTTTCAGTTATGCCATGTTGTGATCTATGATGTTATGCGATGCTGTATTACGATCGACTGTGTCATAATATTGCTATGTAATGTTATGTCATGTTATGGCATGGCCGTGTCATGTTATGTTGTGGTATGTAATGTTGTGTTATGTTGTGTTTAGCCGTCGCTATGCAAAGCTGTAGTGATATGATATGTCCTGTGCTGCTGTGTCATGGTATGATGTGTAAAGTCAAGGCGTGATATATTCTGCTCGGTTGTGTTATCTTACAATGTGCTCTGTCGTGTTCGTCGAGGGCGCGAGACGGGATCATCGGGACAACTTGGAGTCTGGCGGCCGCGGTATGCAGGGTGGGGTTGGCCAGGCGCCAGGCGGGACACCGGGGATACTCGGGACACTCGGGACAACTTGGGGTCTGGCGGCCGCGCTATGCAGGGTGGGGTTGGCCGGGCGCGAGGCGGGACGCCCGGGATACTCGGGATTCTCGGGACAACTTGAGGTCTGGCGGCCGCGGTATGTAGGGTGGGGTTGGCCGAGGGGCCTGTTCTTGAAATCTAACAACCCAAACATGTCGGGTGGGGAATTTCTTGGAAGCCCGCGCGAAACACAGAAAAATGATGCTTATGCTTTCTTTGTGTGCATTCAGGAGACGTGGCCCCAAAGGGCGGAAAATGCACGTCCTTCGCCCCGTGCGCCAGACGGCGTACGCCTGCAGGCGACCTGAATGTATAGCTGCGGGGTGAAACTATCGTACCATCGACGTCCTTTGTCTGGCCAGACGTCGTGGTTCGTCGGGGGAGGGGGTGGAGGGAGAGGAGGAAGCAAAGTGGGATGGAGCGAGGAGGAGAAGATGAGATGGGGGAGGTACGGAAATGCTACGAGACGGATGGTCCGCAGGCGGCGACGGGGAATGCCGACTGCTGGGCGATCGGCCCGCGCGGGAGCGGTGACGCGCGGCGCCTCTGCCGGCCTTCGCTCCCCTCCATCGCCTGAAATCGCTCCTTCCTCTCCCCATCCATTGGCCTGCGCGCGACACCCAGGCCTCGCTGGCGTGCGCACTGCAAGATCGCACGCAGCGTGGAGGGCAGAGACATGCCACTCCGGGAGCGCCCGCGCTCGGTGCAGATGAAAAAAAGTGTCGCGCGGACGAGTTGCGCAATGCACCAGCTGCTACCTCTGGGCCTGTCTGAGCATCCTGCTGCTGCTTAGCATTTTGGCGCTCTAAGTGAGCACAGCCCTTCACAGAGGAGCACAAGGAGACGAAGATGCGATCAAGGGGAGATAATGAGAGAAACAAAACAACGGCATACACATAAACTGTTGGCGCTCCGCGCGGGTTTCTTGCATCTGCGCTGGACCCCCCTCCCTGGCGCGCGGAAGCGCCGCCGGGGGGGCCCAGCCCGGATCCCGGAAGTCCGCGCGGAGCGCCAAAAGTTTATGCTTATGTAGTGTTCCCCTTCTTCTGAATGGGGGCAGGCTAGGAGACAGGTGCCGCAGAGGCGACGACTGGGAGTGCGAACTGCTGGGAGCTCCGCCCGCGCGGGAGCCGTCGCGCGGGGCGCCCCTCTGCCGGCCTTCGCTCCCCACCGTCGCTCCGTCCCCCCCCCCCCCCGGGTGGCCTGCACGCGAAAGCCTGGCTTCGCTGGCGTGCGCACTGCAGGATCGCACGCAATGGGTGGTGGGTGATCACTGCACAAGGGAGACGGGTCCCGAGCAGAGCAGCACGCACCACGACCACGACGACGCCGACGACGACGACGGAGACGAGGCACGCAGACGATCCGCCCCGGAGCACGGATTTGGGAGAGGGCCCACCCTGTAGGATCGCACGCACTATGGGTGGCGAGGCCTTGCCGCTCCTGGAGCGCCCGCGCCCAGTGCAAGTGAGAAGACTGCAGCGCGCACGAGCTGTTTTTCGTATCGTATCGACTCCTGCCTCTGAGCCTGTCTAAGCAACGTATTGCTGCTCAGCACGTTGGCGCTATCAATGAGCGCAGCCCTTCATGGAGGAGCACGAAGAAAAGAAGATGAGACGACTCGAGATACGCGAGTGTGAGAACGGTCGATGACGAGGGCGGTGATGCTGAAGGCGATGCTGATGCTTCTGGCTCCAGGCGTAATCGAAGCCTTAACCAACTCAGACTTTTTGGGTTGGACGCCTAGCGGTGAAACATAACGCGCAAACTGCTCATCAGGGCCAAGACAGCGGGGCGGAGAAAGAGGAGGGGCGAAAGGCGCCAGTCCACCGACCCACGCCTGGCAGGAAAGCGGCAGCAAAGACGAGAAGAAAAAAAGGGGAACGAGAGAGGGAAAATGAAGCCGACCGCTCCCGTATGATGGCGGTGGTCAGTACATCCCCCCCTGAATTAGCCAATCCCTACCCTAACCTGACCCAGGTCCTGTCGACACTGCGCCAAAGCTAACCTGACCCAATAAGGTTAACGTCGCCAACGATTCGGCGACACCAGTGTGTCACGCGCGCTGTAGCAAATGATGCACCAAAATAAGGCGACACAGCAAAATGCAATGCAACCGTGCAAACTGTATCACTCATCCCTCTTCGTTTCGAAAAAGGAATATGGCCGGCGCTGAAGCGAGAGTCACTTTCGCAATCATGGATGTGGCCATCGCTGTGGCGAGAGCAACATTCTCAATCATGGATGTGGCCGGCACTAAGGCGAGAGCAACTTTCGCAATCGTGAATGTGGCCAGCGCTAAGGCGAGAGTAAGTACTGCTAGAGGAAATAGAACTATGCATATACACCGGTTCTGACCAGGCCCATCCTGAGCCCAGGATCGGTGCATATGCCCTCCTGCCTTGGCCAAGAAAGCATATGCACCGATCCTGGGCCCAAGATGGGCCTGGCCAGAATCGATGCATGTGCATAGTTCTCTTCGCCCGATATTGTAATCGTGGGTGTGGCCGGCGCTGATGCGACAGCAACATTTTTAATAATGGATGTGGCTGGAGCTAAGGCGAGAGTAATTTTCGCAATCGTGGGTGTGGCCGGCGCTGAGGCGAGAGCAACATTCGCAGTCGTGAATCTTGCCGGCGCCAAGGAGACAGCAACACTCGCAATCATGGATGTGAGCAGCGTTGAGGCGAGAGCAACGTTCGCAATCATGGATATGGCTGGCGCTGAGGCGACAGTAGCCGTCGTAGTCGTGGATGTGGCTGGCGCTGAAGCGAGAATGATGTTCGCAATGACGGATGTGGCCGGCACTGAAGCGAGAGCAACGTTCGCATTCATTGACGGGGCCGGCGAGGATGCGAACGCAAAATTCGCAATCATGGATGCGGCCTGCGCTGCGGCAAAAGCAACATTCCTAACCACGGATGCGGCCTGGGGTAAGGCCAGCGCAAAATTGATATAGAGGAAGTGGCTACTGGTGAAGCCAGACCATCCGTCGGAATCGTGGGCGAGGTGCCCCACTGCAAACGCGCACTGGCTCTAGCGCAACCAGCAGCACCACTGAAACGAGCAGCGCCAGAAATAGCAGCGCCATGCGCAGCAGCAACAACACCAACGCCAACAACAACAGTATAAATAATAGTGCAAGCCGCACAAGCGACTCCAGCAAAACCTCTCTGACTAACACGACAGCAAACAACACCACCATTACGCGCACCAGCACCAGCGAAACTAGCAGCACCAGTCTGACGACCACGACGGGGAATGGAGCACCAGCACCACGCGACACAGCACAAGCGCCACCAGCAGCAACATTGCGACGACAACGACAGCAATCAGCAACACCAGACGCAGCAGCACCAGCGTCACCAGCAGCGCCTCTGTGACGAGCACGACTGGGAGCAACAACGCCACGCGAAACAATTCAAACGCAACCAGCAGTACCAGTGTGACCAGCACGACGGGAAGCAGCAGCACTACACGCACCAGAACACGCGCAAGGAGGAGCACAGCCGCCAGCAGCACGACACGCGCCAACACGAACACCACCAACAGCACCACAGTAATCAGCACGACGCAAAGCAGCAACACCACGCGCAGCAACACAAATGCCACCAGCAGTTCCACTAGAACGAGCACGGCGGGAACATGCAGCGCCAGGCGATTCGCGCTGGACTGCGCGAGCGCCCCCACCTCCCCGCAGGCCAGACAAGCGGGCGTGGGGCGTTCACTCCAGCGCAAAGCGTGATGGCCCAGATCGTTCAATTTTGGGCTGGGTGGTGACTTGGGCGCCCCAAAGCAGAAATGCGCGATCCGTCCGCGCGAAGTTTTGCGAACTCCACCGCGGGAGCAACTGCTGCTCGCCCCAAGCCCAAACGGCGGTCGATCCCATGCAACGGGTTGCGCCAATCGGGGCCTTCAGTAGCAGCGCTGACCAGGAGCGCCAGGGCGAGCGCGAGGACGGGGTAGTGACTCGTCGTGGGCCCGCCGTCAGCACCCGCCACCTGCCGCCGCCCAGCCCGGACAGCAGTTCCGAAGCCTAGCACCAGCGCCCTGTCCAGCCAGCGGCATCGCGCGAGCAAGCATCACCAACGCCACCAGCAGTTCCACTAGGACGAGCACGACGGGAAACAGCAGCACCAGGCGATTCGCGCTGGACTGCGCGAGCGCCCCCCTCTCCCCACTGGCGAGGCCGGCGAGGGGGAAGCGCCCCCTCGCCCCAGCGCAAAGCGTCACGGCCCAACTCATTCGATTTTGCGCTGGGCACGGCGCGCCAGGGCACAGCCCACAGCCTGTCCCGCAGGAGCCGGCGACCGCCCCTCGCACCGCAGTCCACGCGGCCTGGCGGAGATGCGCACGACGATCCGCGACGCGTCGGTCAGCAACACGAGCGAAACGAGCAGTTCCACTGTGACCAGCCCGACAGGAAGCAGCATCGCCAGCAGCAGCAGCAGCAGCACAAACGCCACCAGCAGCACAACTGTGAGTAGCAAGACAAAGGCAGCAGCAAAAATGCCACCTGCACTGCCACTCCACCAGAACCTGTCGGAAGCAGCAACACCGCGTGCAGCATCAACGCCGCCAGCAGCAGTAGCGCGAGCAACAACAGCGCCACCAGCAACGGAGCCACCAGCACCACTACGACGAGCATCGCGAGAAGCAGCCGCACGACTCGCAGAAGCACCAGCAACCAATAACACCACCTTGTCACGCACACTGGGAACCAATAGTACGACGCGCACCAACTCTGGCGCAACCAGCAAAACTACCGCGACGAGCACTACAGCAGCATCGGCGCCGCCACTAGCAGCGCCGAGAGCAGCACTGACAAGAGCGACGCCAGCAGCAGCTCTACGGCCCGTGCCGCGCTGCTGCAGCAGCCACGACACGCGGACCAAGCGCACGGGGTGGAGGCCTTCGCGGCGTCCGTGTACCGCGTCAGGTCCAGCGCCGCCTGCTCCTCCTTGAGGACCTCCTGCCGCCGCTGCTCCACGGGCGCCTCCGTCGACCGGGGCACGCCGCTCCCCTGCGGATCCTCGGGCACGAGCACCTCCGCGACGTCCGGCATGTGCGAAGGCGGCCCGCTGGCCTGCTTGTCCTCGGGCGCGAAGGCGTGGCGGGAGGCCATGCAGCAGCCCATCGTGTCGGCGCGGGGGGCTGGTTTGCAGAGCCAGGAGGGGTGCTCGCGCCTGCTTCAAGACCTGCGTCCAGTCGTGGAAGCTTGAGCCAAAATGGTTCTGGAATTATGCTTATGCCTTTTTTGTTCTTCGAGAGTAAATGACATCCGTGTATGACTTCGAAATGTCCAAAGACACCACGGCACGATCCGTTACCACACGGCTTTGGGATCCTGGATGCCCCAATCGCCCGAGACGTCCGTGGAGAACGACCCGAGTCCCAAAACCTTGCGGTGACCCCAAATCCCAATCGACTGACTCACCACATGGTGTAATCACCGCACGTAAGGCGGCGTCAAAGCCAACTGCCGCGTAGCGGTTGCCGCAAGAACCCTGCACGGGGCTCGGGGGCGATGCCGTCCGACGATATGCAGCAGCAAAGGGGGGTAGAAGAGGAACAAACGGCATAAACATACACGTTTGGTGCTCCACGCGGATTTTTTGGATCTGCGCGGAACCTCTCTCACTGGCGCGCAGAGCGCGCCAGGGGGCACCACCTACTCGTTCGGGAGGGTCGGGCAGAGCAGGATGAGAGAGTTTGATGCGTGGGAGGTCCTGGGACATCATTGCCACGATGCACTCCTCTGTGCCCTGGGGGGCTTTTCTTCCTGTCCGATGCTCTGCGTCTTTCTATTTCCTCTCGTGCACATACAAGTTGCCGCGGGGCCGCAAACTCGAGTCTTGCGCTTTCCCTAGCCGAAAGCCAGTCCACACTCATCAGGCATAATCTGCAATCTCGGGCCCTGGCGAACTCGAGCCTTACCACGATATCCGGCGCTCCAATTTGTTGCTGCAAATATCTCCAGAGATTTGGACAACTTCCCTAGGACAAATTTTTCGTTCTGAGTCGTTGTCTGACGGTCCCGGGGCCTGTTGAGGGCCCCTGGAGGCCGAAAACGGTCCAAAAACCGGCCGCCCCAATTTTTTCGGAGCCACGGATCTCTGGGCACGACTCCCCCGACTGGAGGGAGGGCGGCCTGAGATGGGCTCGGTGGCGGCATAGGCAGCGGAGAAGCCGAACTTGCTGAGGAAGTACAGCTCTTGAGCGCGGCCGCACGCCGCAAGGCGGTCGTAGTAGACCTGCGAGCGCGGGCGGGCGCCCCCAAGAGCAGCCAGCAACAGGGGCAACCCTTCGATGACAAGCTGAGTGCGACTGCCTGACCCCGTGGGATTATTTCAGTGATCGCTGTATGTGAGAGAGCGTGATCCACCGCCACTTTACTGTGGAAGATTCCCCTCCCCCCCTTCTTCCTCTGGAACCCGGGGGTCCCCCCCCACCCCCCTCCGAAAATCCCCCCTCCCCCCCTGCTGGACCCCCCCCCTTCCCCTCCCCCGGCAAACCCCCCCCCCTCCCCCTAACCGCCCCCCCCCCCTCCCCCTCGAAAACCGGGGGGGGTCACTACCTGTTCGACCCCCCCCCCTCGAAAACCGAAACCGGAGGGGGGTCACTACCGGTTCGAACCCCTCCCCCCCCCCTCACCGCCAGCAAACGACACTCCAGGTACATACCACCGTCAGCACCACATCCCCCACTGTTGTTCCCAGCACCACTGTCCTCACCACCACTGTCCCCACTGGTTCCACCACCGTCCCTACTGTCCCCACCAATGCCCGCACCACTGTCGCACTGTCCCCACCAATGTTCCCACCACGGTTCCACTCTCCCCACCTTCCCCACGGCCCCAACCACTGCCCGACTATCCCCACTGTCCCCATTGTCCCACTGACTCCTCCGCTGTCCCCACTGTTCCCACCACTGTCCCCACTGTACCTCTGTCCCATTGTCCCACCGCTGTCCTCGCCACCGCCTTCACCACTGTCCCCATTACCACTGTACCCTCCACTGTCCCACACTACATTCCCACTGTCCCCGCACCACTGTCCCCACCACCACCGTCCCCACCACTGTCCCACTGTCCCCACTGTTCCCACCATTGTCCTCACCACTTTCCCCACCACTCCCGTCCCCACCACTGTCCCACTATCCCCACCACTGCCCCGCTGTCCCCTCACCACTGTCCCCACCACCACCGTCCCCACCACTGTCCGCACCCCCCCCAGTTTTCGAGGGGGGGGAGGGGGGGGTTCGAACCGGTAGTGACCCCCCCTTGGTTTTCGAGGGGGGGGGGGTTCGAACCGGTAGTGACCCCCCCCCTTTTCATGATGGACTGGGGAGGGGGGGGGAGGGGTTCGAACCGGTAGTGACCCCCCCCGGTTTTCCAGAGGGGGGGGGGTCGAACCGGTAGTGACCCCCCCCGGTTTTCCACCAGCAGCGGTAGAACACGCTCTTTCCTGTATGTAAGTCCTGGTCGCCCACAGTGCCGCGAGGCACGAGTTGAAGTGCCCTCAGGTCCCCTGTATTCCGCAGTCCTCGATCCTCAGCATTGGGCAGCAAGGGGCCCGACCAGGAATTGGAGGTACATCGCCGCCGGTAGCTCGGCGGTAGGCCTGCGATAGCGAATCCGCCGATGGTCCTGGGCCGGGCGGGCTATCGGGCCCCTGTCGGCGAGGACTGGGCGATGCGGGGTCAGAGCGTCCCCCCCTGAGCCGGTCCCCCCCCCCCCATCGCTTCCCCGACAAGCACAGCCAGCAAGAAGGGCAACCCTTCGAGGATAAGCTGTAAACAATGAAAAGACTCCCGTTTATGGAAACTTGCAGCCATCAATTCGCTGATGCATTGGATAAACCCGCGTTCACTTTCACAACACATGGTCTGCCTTGGCGTAATGTATTGAGTCTGTTTTCATTTGTATACAACGCCCTTTCTTCCGAAAGGCGTTTGAACATATGCGCACGATTTCACAGCCACTACCACCTTCTGCTGGTCGGTAACGGAAGCTCCTCGGCGAAGTCTGACTCTGCTGTCACACTGCCACTTGCAGCCTCGTGAACTCGGGTAGAGGAACACAGAAAGCATAATAAACACAAACTTCCAGCGGAAACCTGAGATCCACGCACGAAGCGAGCCAGGGGCGGCGCCGGAGGCGGTGACAGGGGGTCCCAGCGCGGATCCCCAAAAGTTGTTTCTGCCGTTTGTTTTCTTCTTCGATCATGCTCTCCTCGTCCCCGGCGGCGCTTCGAAAACTGACTGACTGGCCGAATGCCTCGGGGCACTCGGCCAGGGTGGTCAGACCAATGGGGGTGTGCGGCTGCGAGGCGCAGGCCCCGGACACCAGCCGCCGCCGCCGCCGACAACGACGACGACGACAGCGACACCGACCGCTTCCCCACGGGTAGGGTTTCGTCCTGGATCCACATTTGATAGTCCTGGGGCCCGATAGCCAGCCCCCCGAAGGCCGACATCGAGAAAGACCCGCTGAACACTACAACTGTACAGTACAGTCAATCTTCGTTGCCATTCGGCGTTGGTTTTCTGCGTCGGTTCCTGACCCTGCGGTTCGTTCCTGACCCTGACCCCGGGGATCGCTCAACCTTGAACGCTCGGACGCTGCCAAAACGTCACACCGTTTAACATCTATTGGTTATGGGTTGCAACCGGCGTGCAACATTGAACGCCTCGGGGATCTACTGACCCGGGTCAATCCAGACACGGGTCAGTCAGGCCTTGCAGGATCCTGCGAGCTCCTTAAGACCCTGCACCCAAACCCGGGTCAATTCCACCATGGCTCTGCAAAATCCTGCAAGATCTGGCGCTCCGACTGACCCCCGCTTGCATTCTCTTGAGCCCCGAACGCCGGCGGCGGGGTCACCGCCAGTCGACACGAAGTGTGCGTCGCCGTGATTGCCCTGCCGCTCCTCCAGAACAGAAGGGTCCCACAGCGCCGAGGGGCCGCGGGTTGCCCGCTCCGGCACCACCACTGCAAGGGCACCACCTCGGCGGGCGCCCCTCGGGCCGAGCCCAGCTGCAAGCGCTGGATTCTTCGGCGGCGAGCGAGGGGGGGGGGGAAGTGAGAAGGAAAAGGCCTTCTCAGAAGGCGGCGGGACTTCTCAGAATCCCTGGCGCCTTCTGAGAACCTTTCCAAGAAGACCGGGGGACTTCTGAGCCATCTGGGAAAGCCCGCCCCTTCTCTCTTCCCCCCGAGCGCGCCGCCAAAAGTCGCGTTCGGCCTACAGGGACCTTTATCTGAGCCCGGGGAGCGTCAAAAACAACGCAGAATGAAAAACGGGGCCCTGGGACTGGGTCGTGAAAACATAACTGACTTCGCGGTCCGCGACGTCTGGCGCTTCAATTATACCGACGTGTGGAACTCCCAAGGTCTGGACCGCTTCTCTAGGTCCGCTTCCTCATCCCGAAAACGGCCAAAAACCAGCCGCTCTATTTTCGCTCGGAACCTCGTTTCTATGGGATCTCATGCTGGGTAGTCGAAGCCAATCTGGCGCCAATCTGGCAGGCCCAATCTGGCAAACGGGGGCAATCTGGCGAGGGAGCCAACGCGAATCCAGTCTGGCGAATAACCCAAATCATCCAATTTGGCCCTGCCAGATTGGCCCTTGGGGCCCAATCCAATCTGACAGTCTGGCCTTCGACTACCCAGTCATGGGTTCGCTCTGGGCGGGGCATCCGCGAAAGCACATCCGTGGGGCCGCGGCCCAGGGAGTCGGCCTGCGAGGCCGTGGACGCGGAGGCTGGTGGTTCGTCGGGCCTTCCCCTCTCCCGCCCTGTCGCTTCTGGAGGAGCAGCACGGCGGGAAGCTGCTGCGTTGCGCGTCGTGGCGGCGGCCCTGGCGACACGCCATGACCCGCGAGCAGATGGCAAATCGCTCCGCTCCGCGGGGCAGGGGGCTGGGCAAGGCTCGGGACGCTGACGCTTGGGGGCTGGGACGTGGTTAGCGTGTCGCGACAAGGCGTGGCGTGCCAGAGCCAGGAGTATGACACGCTGAGCCGAAGTGCCTGACCGCAGTCAGAAGCCCCGTCGCATCGACCCCGACCTGAATTCTGCGCCGCCGAAGCCCTGCCATTCTGCTACAGTAGTAGCCAACCTTCCACAAGAAATTCACCTCAAGACCCAAGGACGTCCATCGATGTTTGGTGTGGGAACGTCACGCTTTCCATAGCAGAACCATCGAAGCCCAAGAAACCCAGGGCACCCTGGAGGCAAGCAGGGTGTTTCTTGACATGGGTCTCCACTGTGCTTTCTCTGGAAGGTCAAAGCCGCCCCGAGACAACACACGACCGTCCCACATGAGCTCCGCACGGGCCTCGAAGCGGGTCCACTGGGCGCCAAGGGGCTTCCGCGGTCGCGTGGATGAAGAGGTGGAGGAGAAAAGAAACAGAAAACGCAATCGGAAGAGGAGGGCGGCGGAATTGGCGTGGAGGATGAGGGCAAGTCGGGCAAGCAGCAGCAGCGCCAACAGCGAGAGCAGGACCAGCACTAGCAGCAACATCGGCATCAGCTGGAGCTGGAGCAGCAACAGGAGGACAAACATGAAGACAAAAAGGAGGAGGAGGACGAGGAGGAGGAGGAGGAGAAGGAGGGGGAGGAGGAGGAGGAGGAGGAGGAGGAGGAGGAGGAGGAGGAGAAGAAGAAGGAGGAGGAGGAGGAGGGAGGAGGAGGAGGAGGCGGCAGAGGAGATGTCCAATCAATGACCGCGCAGACCAGGCATGGCACATAGAAGCTCTGCCGAGAAGGCGCGACCCCTGCCCATGGCAAGCAGTCGCAGGCGCCCTTCCGCGCTGTCCGCTTCTTCTTCGCGTGTGTGGCGTTCGCCCTGGCCGTCGCGGACAACTCGGCCCTCGCGGCGTTGGAAGATCAACGCTGCCCGCTCCAGCTCCCACCCGGACAAATTTCTCATGCTCCAGCCCCTGCCGCAGGTGCTCCCCCCCTCCTCATCTCCTTCCTCCACCTCCTCCTCCTCCTTCCTCCTCCTCCTCCTCCTCCTCCTCCTCCGTCGTACTCCTGTCCCCCTTCCCCCTTACATCATCGGTCGCTGGACCCCCCCCAGGCTTTATGGGGTCCAGGCGCAGATCACATTATCATGTTTTGAGGCACCCGTCGGCGTGGTGGAGGCTACTTGCGCGCGTGCTTCGAACCGTGGAACGCGATGCAACGAATCATGCATCAATGTCGGCCCTGGGGTCTGGTTTGCAACGGTCCTGTTTGAACCAAGGTATCAACATTTGGACCGCAAGAACTGCCTTGGCCAAGAGCAGTGCTCCTGCGTTCCGCTATCACGATTGTGCAACAATTACATCGCAGGCGATGTGCAAGGAGGGTGAGGAGGATGAGGCCTGGTTCAAACGCGAGACGGGTGAGCAGGAGGCATCGGACATGGAGGGCGAGGAGAGGAAAATGAAGGGCTGAGGAGCCACAGGGTGAACAGCGAGAGACGCTGGATAATGGGAACCGAACAAGAGATGGGAGGCGCTTGACACGAAGGAGGAGGAGGGCAAACGTGCAAGACAAAGGACGGCAGGGTATGCTGAGGGCATGGGTGAGTCAAGGTGAGGGGGAGAGGAAGGATGACGGGGATAAGCGTGCATGTTATGACTCATCATCGACACCAGGGGGGGGGCAGAACTCAGCGGGGAAGGTCTCAGCAAGGACGGCGACGCCAAATTGTGACGAGGGCGCGGGGCTAGCGGGTAAGAAAAGCACACACAGGAGAAGCATGAATACGCAAACTATAGACCTCGGGGGGCGGGGAGATCGCATCAGGGCGGTGGAATGGGAGGACGGTCCCCACGTCGCTACTTTGGTCCGTCGGCACCCCTTATTTCGACATATGTGTTGCCATTTTGCCCGTGCGTAGTTCGTCTCTCTTGCTGCTCGTGGTGTTCCTACTCTTGCCCTGCCCCTTCTCGTATACCATATCGCTGTCATACTCACCGCGTGGCGTCCTACTAGTCCTCTGCCTTCTCTTATACATGCACCGTTGAGCGAGAGGAAGCGAACGACAGAGGAGGATCAGCACGAGGAGTGGTCAAGAGGGCGCGGATCAGGAGCTCTGACGCCTGATCCCCCATTGGCGGACTCTAGGCAGTCGCTTGCCCCGATTCTCTGGTCGCGATGTCGGGACCGATGGCGATCGCCGCGTTGTTCTTGCTGGGACCGGCGCCAATTCAGAAGGAGTTGGGCGCCAGTCCAGCGTAAAGCGGAAGGAAGTCTCGGGCAGGAGCGCTGTCGGGGCGGCGGTTTTCGGCGGCGAGGACGAGCACCGCCTTGAGTAAAAAAGGGAGGACGTCTCGAGCGGGAGCGTTGTCTTTGCTGGGGGCGGCGCCGATGAGAGAAAGACTAGCGCGCCAGTCCAAGGTAAAACGGGAGGAGGTCTCGAGCGGGAGCGCTGGTGTTGTTAGGACGGCGGCTTTCGGCGGCGAGCAAGAACACCAGCCCTGAGTGAAAAAAGGAAGAAGTCTCGAGCGGGAGCGTTGTTGTTGTTGTTGTTGTTGTTGTTGTTGTTGTTGTTGTTGTTGTTGGGGGGCTGGCTTTGGCGGTCCCCCATACCGCTCGAGCGTAAGCCTCATTGTCAATGAAAATGTAGCCGGCGCCTCGGCGAGAGCGCCAGGGCGCCTTGAAGGGGTCCAACAATAATGATTGCTTGATAATGAACATTCAACAACAACAACAACAACAACAACAACAACAACAACAACAATCACTTTACCCGAACGCTCAGTGTTCTCACCAGTGCCAGGGTTTTCATGCGACGCCAGCCAATACCCCCACTTTGTGGGGGGGCAGTGCAAGCTCTACCAAATATCCACACGACTCTTCGCCACCACCCACACCCAGCTTCCCGCCCTATGACGTTCGGACACTTCACTTCGTGGCCTGCGGACGACCGTGGCTACTACACTGGCGTGGAGTACACACCCACAGAAGTTGTTAAGCCTACGTTCGTACACCCACAGAAGTTGTTAAGCCTTGTTAACCCACAGAAGTTGTTAAGCCTTCCACAGAACATCTGTTGCATATGATGCATATGGTACATGATACACATGATACACATGATACGTACTCACAAGATAGTTGATCACATCTTTAGGGCAAATTCCTGAGGGATGTGGGAATACACAAGAGAGAGAGGATATGGTTGTCCCGATGGTTAGGCGGACGTGAGTTAAGAAGCCCAATGGTTTTTGGAGATTTCGGCGTGCGCGCGCGAAGAAAAAACGAATGTGTCCCGCATGGTATTATTTGACAGGGATGATGGCCCTGGCAGGTGCGCAACCGTTGTCGCAGAAGTTCGAAAAAGTTGCTCGCAAAAGCCCGTTTGACAGAAATGTTTAAAAAGTGTTGGGTTTCCTACGAATCCGCAAGAGCGCGCGGGATGAGATTTTGACATTTTTTTGTTGAAAAACCATTGGTTTTTTGATGTTTTTATGTTAAAATCGCTCCGAACACTAAGCTTTTGGAAGGATTTCGTCTTGCGCGCGCGAATGTCCACTTTACCTTATTTTTTGCAAGGGATTCTTGAAATTTGATTATATTAGAACAAGAAATGTCATTTTATAGTGTTTTTTGCAAGGGAAAGCGGGGGGGAACAAAACAACCGGATCTTGATCACATCGAATTACCTGAGGCTTCCTCACGAAAATGATGAAAATGTAGCTGCGGCCTAGGCGGCGCAGGGGGGCCGTGCACCAGGGGTCCCAACAATAATTATTCTTTAGAATTAATAATGTTCAACAACAACAACAGCAACAACAACAACAACAACAACAACAACAACAACAATTACTAGCACGTGGGGACACTCCGTTCTCACCAGTGCCAGGGTTTTCATAGGAGGCGGGCAATACCCCCACTTTGTGGGGGGGCCGGTTCAAGCTCTACCAAATTTCCAAACGACTCTTCGCCACCACCCACACCCAGCTTCCCGCCCTATGACGTTCGGACACTTCACTTCGTGGCATGCGGACGACCGTGGCTACTATTCAGGGCCCCGCGGCCGACGACGACGGCGTGCGCGCGCGAAGAAAAAACGAATGTGTCCCGCATGGTATTATTTGACAGGGATGATGGCCCTGGCAGGTGCGCAACCGTTGTTGCAGAAGTTCGAAAAAGTTGCTCGCAAAAGCCCGTTTGACAGAAATGATTAAAAAGTGTTGGGTTTCCTACGAATCCGCAAGAGCGCGCGGGATGAAATTTTGACATTTTGTTTTTGGAAAAACCATTGGTTTTTTGATGTTTTTATGTTAAAATCGCTACTTGCGCGCGCGAATGTCCACTTTACCTTATTTGTTGCAAGGGATTCTTGAAGTTTGGTTATGTTAGAACAAGAAATGTCCACTTCAGCTTATTGCTTGCAAGGGAAAACCGATCGTAACAACACAACCGGATCCGGACCAACCCGTTTTGCCTGAGACTTCCTCACGAAAATGATGAAAATGAGGCTGCGGCCTAGGCGCGGCGGGGGGGTCGCGCACCAGGGGTCCCAACAAAAATTATTCTTTAGAAGTAATAATCTTCAACAACAACATTCAACAACAACAACACCACCACCAACAACAACAACACCAACAACAACAACAACAACAACAACAACCACAACACCACCACAACAACCACAATGGCAACAAAAACAGCAACAAAAACATCAGCATCAACAGCAACAGCAACAGCAACAGCAACAGCAATGACAACAACAACGCAACACAAGCATAATCCTCACTCCCGGATTTTCACTGAAGCCACGCACCCAGGGACAATGAATGGCCGCTTGGCCCCCTCACTCTGACCCAATACCGACGTGGCCACACCACACTTCAACCGGATGTGGAAACGCTGGCGCAGTGCCGCGGACGCATGGTCCGGCTGGCCGCCCCTCCTGCGCACCTCCGCCGCGGCCGCTGGCCAGCTCCGAAGAAGGAGCGAGAGGAGGAGGAGGAGGAGGAGGAGGAGGAGGAGGAGGAGGAGAAGGAGGAGGAGGAGGAGGAGGAGGTCGACGAGCCCTTCCTGAGCTGGCGCAGCTTTTCAACAGCGTTTCGCCTGGCGTGCTCGCTGTTCGCGGCCGGGGAGAACTGCACGAGCTCCCCTGCTTCACATCCTGCTCCTCCTCCTCCTCCTCCTCCTCCTCCTCCTCCTCCTCCTCCCCAGGAAAGCTCCAGCCTCACTTCCTGAACTTCGACGGCATGAGCGAACGCAAAGACGGCCAGGACGGAGGTCACCTGTGGGGGGTAGGGGAAGCCCGAACACGGCGAGGAGGAGCAGCAGCTACAGCAGCGGCAGCAAGTAGCATGATCGGGCCTTGCGCTATCTCACACCCATCCCCTCTCATCGTCCTTCATCTACCATGCGTGTGTCAGCTCTATGGCCGTGGCTGCCTGGAGCCTCATTTCCCGACTCCTTGCTCCCAGTGCTCTGCATGAGTCTTCTTCCCAACCCTCCTGTGTTGCTGGGTCCGCTTTCTGAACACGCAGCGCCAAGCCAAACCACCCTCTCCCACCTCCCGCTCCTCCCTTGCCTTCTCCTCCTCCCTCTGCTTCCCGTCCTCATGTACACTCCGGCACTTCCCTGGCACACTTCGCGCCCCCACAGGGAGCTTCATCTCTGGTTCCCGTAAGGGCGGGCCGCATGCCGCCCCCCGCCCACTTCGGTACACCCCTCACGCGCTTCGCATGCCCATCCCGGCACGCCCCTCACGCGGATCGTGCTCCAAACGGAGCTCCGCACACATCCTTGCTGGGCCAGTTCGCATGGCGGCGCCTCGCGCATTTGGGCACACCCCTCACGCGGATCGTGCTCCAGACGGAGCCCGCCATCCGTCCTCAGAGGGACAATTCACACGGCGTCGCCGCACCAATGTCGGCACACCACTCACACGGAGTGTGTCCAACCTGGAGCTCGACATTCGGCCTCGGTGGGCCAGTCTGCATGGTTGCGCCGCGCGCATTTCGGCGCACCCCTCATGCGGATCGTGCTACAAGTCCTCGATGGGCCAGTTCGCACCGCGGCGCCGCACCAATTCAGGCACACCCCTCGCACGGATTGCGTCCCACAGAGAGCTCAACCTACGGCCTTGGTGGGCCAGTTTGCATTGCGGCGCCGCGCGCATTTCGGCGCACACCTCACGCGGAGCGTGCTCAAAATAGAGCTCCGCCTACGTCTTCAGTTGGCCAATTCGCACGGCGGCGCCGAAGCAATTGAGGCACACCCTTTCACACGGATTGTGTTCCACGGGGGGTCCAATTCGCATGGCGGCGCCGCCCCCATTTCGACGCACCCGCCTCGCGGACCGTGATCCAGACGGAGCTCCGCTTCCGTCCTCAGAGGGCCAGATCGCACGGCGGCGCCGCACCAATTTAGGCAACTCCCTTGCACGCATGCTGTTCCACATGGAGCTCCACCTTCGGCCTCGGGGGGCCAATTCGCACGGCGGCACCGCGAACATTTCAGCGCACCCCTCTCGCGGATCGTGCTTAAAACGGAGCTCCGCCTACGTCCTCAGTGGGCACACCCCACACGCGCATCGTGCTCAACCCACAGCCCAGGTGGGCGCGGCCGGAGGACGCTCGCTCCATCCTGTGGGGCACAGCGTACGAGGACAGGACCACATCCAGCGCTACACGCAGCTGCTAAGGGTCGAGCTCGTCGCCAGGCTAATGTTGCACAAGTCTCACGTCCGCCCCCTTTGCCCAATTTGTCGCCAGCTCCCGACATTCACCTTCCCCCAGCTAAGATGGTCAGATGTGACGGCGAGAAGGAGCATGTAAAACTCCTCAACTGATAAGGGCCGAGGGCGCAAAGGCCCGGGCCATTTTCCAAAATCAGACATCAACCCATGCAAGCGTCTTGTAAAATTCAGTTCTGAAGCAGCGACCGTTTAGCTTGCCACAATGATAACCGATCAACTTGTCAACTGGTCAATGCTTCCACGAAACGCCATTTCAGAAACGCGTTCACAACTTTACCCCACCATGCTAAAGTGGGAGCTGGGGTGGGGTGGGGGGTGCGTCCGAAAATCACCAGCCTCGTCGACTCCTGCCTCAGGCAAGCGACACGGCCGCACAGGGGCACACGATGGTTCAATTCTCTGGGCGGGGAGAGCGAGTATCCTCCTCTCGACCCCCTCGCATGCCAGATGTCTCAACAGCATGAAGCCACAACGTATTGTGCAAAACCATGTTCGGCAACTCACGCAGCACCACCCTAAGCATGATGATTGTTACGTCCGTCTACCACCCTCCATCCGGCAAATGTCCTGTTGTCGTTTCACTCGCCACTCCGATCTCGGCATGGGCAGCCCCAGGCTGACTGAGGCAGTCGGGCTTCATGACCAAAATGGGTCAGGCCAGGAAGACTGCTCCTGGGCTTTTCTCTTATGCTCCCTTTTCCCCTTCTCTTCTTCCTGTTATTATCAGACTCTCATTGGGCTGAGCGCCCCCCAGACTTTGTGACGGCCGAGCGCGATCAGACAGCCTCGCAAGAGGCTAACAACGGAGGGTGCGGCGGCCCACATCCCCGACTGCACGGGCTTTGCAACGTGAGCAAACAATTGGGGATGAGCTCGGGCACATACGATGGGGGGGCACCCCCTCCCCTTGAAGGGTGCATCCCAGGAGTTGCCCTTCCTTCCTGAACGGCCCGGCTTGGGACACACCTGGGATTGAGAGCAAGGACGTCGCCTGCGAGGTGAGGCCGCGATCGAACCGGCCGCTGACGCCCCAAAGAGGGTGAACAATCACGGCCCTGGCGGGGCGGTGGCGAGACCGCACGGACGTGGACCACTGCCGCGCGCGAGGAGGGAAGCAACAACACCAGCACCATCAACGACGAGGCGCACGGCGGAGGCAGCGGAACAAAAAAGGCATAATTAGCAATGTTTGTCGGAGCTCCGCGCAGATTTCACGCATCGGCGCTGGGCTCCCCTGACTGGCGCGCGGAGCGCGCCGTGGGCGGCTCTTCGAGGATCGGCGGCGGGCGAGGGGCAAAAGCGAGAAGGAGAAGGCCTTCTCAGAAGGCGGCGGGATTTCAGAGAAGCTCTCGCGCCTTCTGAGAAGCTTTCTGCGTCTTCGGGGAAAGCTGAGAAAACCTCTCCGAAGGAGGGGAACTTCCGTCTCTCCCCCCCCCCCTGGGCGCGCCGCCGAAAATCACGTTCGGCCTCCAAGCACCCTTGTCTGAGCCCTGGGAGCGTCCACAAAAACCGACGCAGAACGACAAAACGGGGTGAACTTCCGAGCCTTCTGAGAAGGCCCGCCCCTTCTCACCTCTCCCCCATGCCCGCCGCCGAACATCACGTTCGGCCTCCAAGGACCCTTGTCTGAGCCCTGGGAGCGTCCACAGAAACGACGCAGCACGACAAAACGGGGGCCCCGGCACCGGGCCGTGACAAGACCATGCACCACGCCGCAGTCCGAGGCGTCTGGCGCCGAGAGGGGGGAGGCCGCGCCTTGAGCGCCATGGCGCCGGGCCCGGTATGTACACGGGAAGTGTGTGGCGGCGCGCGCCCGGGAGGGACCCGAGCCGGAGGCTCGGCGGCTGCGGGGGCGCGGCCGTCGCGCTCCGCCTTCCGGAGGCCCTCCCCCTCCCGAGGGCCGCCCCCCTTGCTGCCCGCGGTGCCCCACGGGGCCCCGGGGCCTCCAGGGAGGCCGCCCCAGCCTGTGCCAAAGACGGAGCGCCGTCCTCGAGCGAGATTCGACGAGCGCGTTCCACTGGTCGCAAAGAAACTACTCACAAATGGCCTGGACCCCCCCCCGCGAGATCTACAGTAAATGAATTACATCCAAAGAGACGTGCTTTCTCGGACGTTTGCGAGTAGGCACTTTGCGAGTAGTAGAACGCGCTCGGTGAGAGATGGAACAACAAAAAACACAAGCCTGCAGAAGCACCGTGCCTCGGAGATCCGCGCGGGGCTCCTGGGTCGGCGCTGGACCCCCCTCCCTGGCGCAAGGATCGCGCCAGTGGCGGGGCCACGAGCTCCGCCAGTGGGCCCACCGCCGATCCAAGATCTCCGCGCCTAAAGGGAAATTAGGACACACAAATAAATACACACAAATAAAAATAGTCCCCATATTTTTCCATATTTTCTGGGTTTTTGTCTTCCCCCCCAATTCCCATATTTTCCCATATTTTCCTGGGAATCGAGGATTAATTGTGTCTGTGTGTTTTTTTCCCTCCTGAGCGCCGACCTACGAAAGCTTCTGTGGATGCCGGCGGATCTCCTCCGATGTCCGCCATCCCGCACTGCTGAAGTGCTGCACGGCTCAGCTGTTTGCACACGCGCACGTGTCCGCCCCGGTGCTCCGCGGCACGCGGAGGTGAGGGGTATAATGTCAGCTGTGGTAGGGTGTCAGCACATCCTCGGAAGCCCTGCACGCGCAGTCACTCATCGCACGGGCAACCATTCCACAGCCACCACTGGCTTGCGAGGTAGCACTACCGAGCCACAGGCGGAATAACATATCAAGCCACTTCGGCAACGCGCAACCTTGAACATCTCTGCTTACAGACGACATGCTACATGACCGAATGTCGGAGGCAAGCTGAGTCATTGCATCTGAGATGTACAAAACGGGCGACCAATGTGTCTGTGGATTTCGCTCGAACTCACAAACTCGATGATGCCATTTCTACAGGCAACCTACCGCAGGCTGCCGCACGTGTTGCATCCCACGCGAGACGTCTGGTGACACGTACAGGGCACATCCAAGTGGTCGCAAGGCTGAGGCTGTCGCCGCTTTCTTCATGACTACTCCGTCAACGTGACCCCTAGCACGTTGCTGCGTGGTAGAATGTCAAGTGCTGTCTGGTAGGGTTCTGAACATCTTCTACGACCACTTCTCCTCCTCCACCTCCTCCTCCTCCTTCTCCTCCTCCTCCTGCTTCATGCATCCCCCGCTCTCCCGAGGCCCTCTGGCCGCCCCGACGCCTCCCTGGCGCTCTCCAGGGCGTCTGAGCTGCCTAAGATCGCGCCCCAAATTGCCCAGGCAGGCCACCAACGGTGCAAAGATAATGCAGTGTGCCTCCACTGCCACCCAAAATGACGCCACGACCGCTCGAGATGTCATCAAGAATGCCCTAAGGGCTCTCAAGACGGTGCTTGCGGGCTCCAAGAATCTCGAACAGGGCCCGAAGAAGCCATGATCATTGACAAACCATGGTGTGTGATGGATTTTCAAATAGAATCTCGCCTGTTCGGGAGTCCGCCAGCTCAAGACGGCACAGCCAGCCTCAGAGATGGCCACAAGATGGCCCACGCAGGCCTCACGAGGACCCCGCGACAACCAAAGAGGGTCCTAAAACGGTCCAAGATTAGGTCGGGCATGTCCCCGTACATCCGAATTTCGGGCGAAACGTTAAAACATACTCAAACCATACCCAAACATCATGTATCAAAACAATTATGAATGTATTGGGGACATCGGAAAACAAATATTCCCACGGCCGTAGCGCGCATATAAGAAACAAGGGGCGGTGGGAGACGGTTGGAGGCTGTGAGAGCATGTGGGAGGACGCGGGGGGAGGTGGGACGAGCTGGGGGGAAGTGGGAGGAGGTTGGAGGATTCGGGAGGACGTGGGGGGAGGCCGGGCGATGCAAAGGCCCGTGGGAGGAGGGGCGCGGGGGGAGAGTGGCGGGAGGCGGGAGGAGAAGGGGAGGAAGTGGAGGAGGGGGGGGGATGTAAGGAGTTTTGGGATTGGAGCAGGTAAAAGGGAGGTGGGATGGGACGGGGCCGGAGGGAGTAGAGGTGGCACTGGGAAGGGCTTGGAGAGGAGGCTTAAAGGGGACACGAGGAAATGAAGGAAAAGTAGGAAAACGACGACGACAATGACGACGACAACGAGGAGGAGGGAGAGGGACGAGAAGGAGGAGGAGGAGGGGGAGGAGAAGGAGGAGGAGGAGGAGGAGGAGAAGGAGGAGGAGGGGGAGGGGGGACGGAGACGGAGGAGGAGGAAGAGGAGGTGGAGCAGGAGCAGGAGCAGGGGAAGGTGGAGGAGGAAGAGGATGAAGATGGGAAGCAAAGCCGCGATGCTACATCGAGGCGGCCATATGAACGATGAATACGCGAAAACAAACGAAAATGCCACCGTGCGGGCGCACAATGGTGCCCCACCCACCTGGGTGACCCACCCACTGGGGTGACCCACCCTCCTGGGTGACCCACCCACCTGGGTGACCCACCCACCAGGGTGACCTTCGCAGCGTTGTGCGCGTTTTCGTATACAACGCAGCGGTGCGAAATCGAAAAATGACTTGTGGAACCCCGATGTAAAACTTCATTATCTGGATGCAAAGGGCGACCATACGAACGTTGACTAATCGAACACACGCAAACGCAATTGCGCGGGCGCGCAATGGTGTCCCACCTACTCGGGTGACCCACCCACCTGAGTGACCCACCCACTCTGGGTGACCCACCCACCTGGGTGACCCACCAACCTGGGTGGCCTTCGCAGCGTTGTGCACGTTTTCGCATACAACGCCGCGATGCTAAATCAAAAAACAAACGAATTGTGGAAACCCACTGGGGAACTTCATTCACTGGGTGCAAGAAGCGACTCTATAAACGAAGAAACAACCGGGAAGAAACACGCAAACGCCACTGTGCGGGCGCACAATGGTGTCCCACCCACCTGGGTGACCGACCCGCTCGGGTGACCCACCCACATGGGTGACCCATCCGCTCGGGTGACCCACCCACCTGGGTGACCTTCGCAGCGTCGTGCACACTTTCGCATACAACGCCGCGGTGCTGAATCGAAAAAAACGAAGTGTGAAAGCCCACAGTGGAACTTCATTCTCTGGATGCAAGAGGCAACCATCTGAACGATGAAAACGCGAAAACACACGCAAACGCCACCGTGCGGACGCACAATGGTGTCCCACCCACCTGGGTGACCGACCCGCTAGGACGACCCACCCACCCGGGTGACCCACCCACCTGGGTGAATTCCGCAGCGCCGTGTGCACTTCGGCATACAACGCCGCGGTGCTGAATCTGCGAAAGAACAACGAATTGTGAAAACCCACTGTGGAACTCCATTCTCAGAGTGCAAGAGGCGACCATATGAACGATGACTACGTGAAAACACAGGCAAACGCCAAGGTGCGGGCGCACAATGGTGCCCCACCCACCTGGGTGACCCACCCACTCGGGTGACACACCCACCTGTGACCCACCCACCAGGGTGACCCACCCACCTGGGTGACCCACCCGCCTGGGTGACCTTCGCAGCGCCGCGCGCACTTTCGCATACAACGCCGCGGTGCTGAATCGAAAAAACGAATTGTGAAAACCGACTGTGGAACTTCATTTTCTGGATGCAACAAGCGACCATGTGAACGATGAATACGTGAAAACACACACGCAAACGCCACCGTGCGGGCCTACAATGGTGCCCCATCCACCTGGGGGACCCACCCACTGGGGTGACCCACCCTCCTGGGTGACCCATCCACTCGGGTGACCTACCCACCTAGGTGACCCACCCACCTGGGTGACCTTCGCAGCGTTGCGCACGTGTTCGTATACAACGCAGCGGTGCGAAATCGAAACATGACTTGTGGAAACCCGATGTACAACTTCATTCTCTGGATGCAAGGGGCGACCATACGAACGTTGACGAATCGAACACACGCAAACGCAATTGCGGGGGCGCGCAATGGTGTCCCACCCACTTGGGTGACCCACCCACTTGGGTGACCCACCCACCTGGGTGGCCCACCCACCTGGGTGACCTTCGCAGCTTTGTATACGTTATCGTATACAACGCCGCTGTGCTACATAAAAAACAATTGTGCAAACCAAATGTACAGCTTCATTCTCAGGGCGCAGAAAACGGCCATGTGGACGAGGGAGGCGTCAAAACACACACACGCAGGCACACGGCACTGCGAATGCGCACCATTGTGTCCCACCCATCTGGGCGACCCACCCACCAGGGTGACCCACCCTTCTGGGCGACCCACCCACTTGGGTGACCCACCCACTCGGGTGATCCACCCACCTGGGTGACTCACCCACCCGGGTGACCCACCCACCAGTGACCCACCCACCTGGGTGACCTTCGCAACGTTGTGCACGTTTTCGCATTCAACGCCGCGGTGTTAAATCGAAAAACGACTGGTGAAAGAAACCATGTACAAGTTCAGCTTTCTGGATGCAAGAGGCGACCATATTAACGAGGAACATTTGAAGGCACACACACACACAAACGCCACTGTAAGGCCGCATAATGGTGTCCCATCCACCTGGGTGACGAACCGACCGGGGTGACCCATCCACTTGGGTGACCTTCGCAGCATTGTGAACGTTTTCGTATACAACGCAGCGATGCTGAGTCGAAAAACGAGTTGTGAAAACCCCAGATGAATTTTCATTCCATGGAGACAAGAGGCGCCCATATGAACGAGAAATGCGTGAACATATACACACGCGCGCAAACGCCACTGTACGGGCGCAC